TGAGCGTTGCATCCTCTCAGATGGATTGGACAGAAAGGCTGACTCAGCCTAGAGGAGAGAGAGAGAGAGAGAGCCTGAGGTCTCTCGCCCACTGACGCATGCAGGAGCATCAAATATTCATCTGACTACTGCAACACTGCAGGAGGAGGAGGAGGAAGAGGAGAGGATGAAGAGGAGAGGAGGAAGAGAGGAGGAGGGGAGGAGAGGAAAGGATGAGGAGAGGATGATGAGGAAGAGGAGGAGAGGAGAGGAGAGGAGAGGAAAGGAGGAGAGGATGAAGAGAGGAGGAGGAGAGGAGAGAAAAGGATGAGGAGAGGATGATGAGGAAGAGAAGGAAGAGGAGAGGAGAGGAGAGGAGGAGGAGAGAAAAGGATGAGGAGAGGATGATGAGGAAGAGGAGGAAGAGGAGGAGAGGAAGGAGAGGAGAGGAAGAGGAGAGGAGGAAGAGGAGGAGAGGAGTTGACAGTAACAGCTGACGTACTCGTTGGTCTAAAAATATCTCAGTTTGATAGAGAGACATCAGAAATGAATGAGAGAGAAAGAGAAACACCTTTCACAATAAAAGCCATTCAAATCTATAAGAACCCCTCAGGCAGTATCAGGACCTCCTATCGTTCAATAATAAAATCTGATCAGTCGTTATTGATCACTGGCAGTCACTGATCAGCTCTGTAGTTCTGCAGTGCAGCAAACACACCCGACTGTACGGAAGATTATTCCTGCCAAAAACTGAGAATATAAGATAAACTTTTATACAGATTTATGATGGTAAAAATATAAATTATTCATTTACATTTTGTTTGTTTATCTTATTTCTTTCACTTTTTATTCCAGTTTGTACAATTTTCTATTATTATCTTTATGCTTATGCTGTTGGTCAGCAAACATAGCTACGAATTGTCTCATTCGTTCAAAACTTCAATGCGACATTCAAGGTTTGTAACATTAATGTGGGAAATTAGCAGTTATGCTTGCTGAGAGGTTAGCTGAGCTCCAGCTAGCATAACCCTTGGTAACAGTAGTTAACGTTGGATACAGTGACGTAATGACGGGGCTCTATGGTGGCTCTTTAGCTCATGGAAAAGCAAACTGGTTCTTAGAAGGTTCTTTCCATCGAAGCAGTTCTTCACATTTTGACAGTCAGAGAACATCAACATATTATAGTTTAGAACCAAGAACCGCTCACTGCAGGTCTGTGGCACCTTGTGCTGTTTAATTTAAGTCCTTACATACATGTTTAGGGTGTTAATTGTCGTTGTTTCCACGGCGCAGCACCGCTGATGTCAGCACAGGCGTTCTAAAGGTTCTTACCGGTCGGACCTCTCCGGTGGTGTTGGTGTACTGCCGCGCCAGACCGAAGTCCAGCATGTAGCACTTCCTGTAGGTCGAGGGTAGTCGGCCCATCGCAAAGTTTGACTACAGGAACGAAACGACAGAGAAACCAATGAGTTAACAGATTCATCAACAGGCTTCAGTTCAAGTATTCAAAGGTTTCTATGAGTGAAAGACGAAGTCCTGACTCCTTAAAGATTAATTAACTGCGGAGGCCAAAAGTGGTTTTTATACATGCTAAAAACATTTTTATGGGCATTTTAATATGGAGGCGCTGCTTGTTTTTTTATACTAAAAGATTTCCTGGAATTAAAAATGACATTTCTTTGTTGTTACTTTTGTGTCTGTCTTTATTTTATAACACATATTTTAAATTTTGTGCATTTAAACATCAAAAGAATCCCTTTTCTACGATCTGGACGTATTAAAACTGGGTCCAGTTAAATAAAGACACTCTAACGTCTCAAAGCACAGAAGAAAAGGACCTTTAAAGGACAGAAATGGCTCTGAGAGAACTCGTCGTACCGGTTTGATGTCGCGGTGCAGGAAGCCCACTGAGTGGATGGCTTCGATGGACTCCAGGATCTGCTTCCCGAGCCGCAGGGTGGTGCTCATGGTGAAGGTCCCTCTGGGCTGACTCCTCCGCAGGTCGGCCAGGTTACGACCCTGCAACAGAACAGGGACACTTTTTCAATTCCTGCCAAAAAAAACGTGTTGAAATGTCGGATTCTGTGCGTCCGTCTGAGCTTTTACAGTCACTAGAAGCACAATCGCAGCACAATCCAGTCTCTGCTTTCTGTGTGTATTTATGTATATATACATATATATATATATATGTATATATTATATTACATGCTGACTCACCTGAAGCTGCATGACCACGTAGTTGAATTTGTCGTTTCTCCCGCAGCCAATAAACTTACAGACGTGGTTTTTACCTGGAAAAGAAAAAGAAAGAGGAGACGTTCAATAAGTTTCTACGTTTATGCTCCCGAGTGCCTTCTTCCCTCTTCCGGCTCCCTACCAGTGCCACAGGTTGGTGCCAACACTAGCGCTAACTTTAGCTTATTAAATGCCTGCCCTAAACGGTCTAACCCCAAAAACATTGGAAATAATGAATTACCAAAATATCCTCGTGAATTTTTACCATGGTTTCTTAATGGCTAAATTAAACATGCACAATCTGTAAACTGTAATAATGGGAAAAAAACTTACCTGCTTGTTACAAGACGGGGGGTTATTTTCCTTTCTTGTCCAAATAAAAAAGATTAAATAATTTTGATTCTATAAATTTTTGTTGCAGATATTTATTGGTTTTTTAAATAGGATTAAAACTGTTAAATTCCAGGTTTCAATAGCTGTTAATTTACATTTATCAAAAATTATGTTTTTTTAATAGTGGAACATATACAGTTAAAACGTTTTTGTCCTGTTCATTTTTCAATGGTTGTTTCAACCTGGATTTTTAGTTTCCATTGTTTTTACCCCATGTAAATCTTACAACATTTAAAAGATATTTATTTCAAATTAAAGTGCTAAAACTGAATTTTTTTATTTATAGAAATTTTATGTATTTTTACATATTTTATGTTTATTTTTTGTTATTTACAGTATTTTTTTGTTATTTTTTTGGACCCAGGTTTCGTGAGGAAAGGGGGCGGGTTCTCACCTGACAGCTTCTTCAGGCCACCGCCCCACGCCTCCCATCTTCAGCACCTGTTTGGCGCTGCTTGGGGGCCGGGACTTCCACCTTCCAGCGGCCACGTTCTCCCGCGTTCCAAGCAGTCTAAAAGGCCTCTAGAATCTCCCCCGACCCGGCCGCCGCCGATCTTTCTTTAGCTGGGCCAGACAAGGACAGGGACAGGGACAGGGCAGGACAGACAGGACAAAGAACAGCAAGACAGACAAGGAGGGCAGACAAGAGAAGACTGTTGGAAAAACCCCCAACCTTTCCTGTCCCATTGTTGTCCATCCTTTCATTATTCTTGGCCTTCTTCAGTTTTATGTTCTTCAGTTTTACGGCCCTCTTTTATTCTTCTTAAATTCCATTCTTTTCCTCATTCAGTTTGTTCTTTCCATTCTTTTTCTTCTGTTCAATTCAATTTTTCAGGATCAATTTAATTACAAAAAGCAGAAAGGGAAAAGTTAATTTCCTATCTTTCTTCCTTTCATTCAACTTCTTCTTGCATTTTTATGTTGTTTGCCGGACTGTCTTGAGCAAAAAAATATACATATAATCCAGTATATATGTTTTAATGTGTGTGTGGTGTTGGTGGGTTGGGAACATAAATTGATTCAGGAATGGGCAAAACAAGCCCTCAGGGCTCATTTTGTTTAATTCCTTGATTGGCTTCAGACAGGCCTGCATTATATGTAAACTTCTATTTTTCAGAAAACCAAAGAGGGGAAGCTTCAAAGGACCGCAGGCATTAATATATAATATATATATAATATTATATATTCAGGGTTTGGTTCTTCCAGGCATTTATTAGGGA